TTGCCTTTGTATTTAAGCCTTCAGTTCTGTTCAGTCTTTGTGATGTCCTCATCTGTGTTGAGTGTTCTGTCCTGTCCCTGCAGCTGTTCTTTGGATTTATCTGCCCGTGCTCTGGATTACTTTTGTTGGATATACCTCAGTTTTGGATTTTGCCTTTGCTTGCACATAAGCCTGTTTTGTTTCGCATTAATAAATCTGCATCTAAATTGAACTGCATCCTCCTGCTGTTGTCTGCATCCGGGTCCACACCTCTGCTACCTGCTGTTGCATTCAGCCCACCCTTGACAACAATATCCTGCTATCATTGAGTGCCTCTCTACCATCAACACACCTAGGGCTCTGGGATTGAAGGCAAAACTCAGCAGATTCTCCTTAGTGTATTTGATGTTTGTTTTCTAGGATCTCCTGTCTGTAACAGCATGTTTACACAGATACCTCCAGCTACAGAAGGAGACAGGTAATCTTGCCCAAGTAGTGACATACAATGATGCAGTGACATACAATGATGCAGTGACTAACTGAACCTTAAAGGTTCAGTGTGTAATATTCCTGAGTATCTATTGACAGAAATGCAATATAAGATTGTTACGTCCTCACATGGCTCAAGCCCAGAGGTGAAGAGGAGTAACAAATATAAATGAAAACCGGCTGAAAAGAAACACGAAACAAATAGATATTTATTAACAAACAAACCTCAAAGAGGAACAGCAGAGACACAAACACAAAGAACTAGACTACTTAACAAAAAGAGGTGATATAGGATTCAACTAAAACACAGAACTAGCAACTTAAATAAAAACACATTTAACACCTTCCCTCTTCTGAGGGAGTATGCGAGCCCACACCACCATCTGACCCACTGGCCAGCAGCCACACAGACTGGCCCCTTGAGACCAGCCACAAAGGCCCATTGCTGCACTCTCCTTGTTCTCTTATCCTCCAGGTACTGATTGGGAAATCAGGGGCAGCTGCTGCCAATCACTAATTGCACCTGCGAGGCAGGAGGGTAAGGGCATTACCTGTAGAACTACAGGAGGAGAAGCACACAAGACAAAACAGAATACACGACTCTTGGGCCGTAACAAAGATCCATAACTATGTTTTTAGTGGTGTGTAAAGACCTTACATAACAAAGCATTATGTTTTTATTACCTTCGAATGAGCCATTTATATCTACATAACCGCGGGTTCCCTGTTCCATGGACCTCGCCATGTTGCACCGTCATGTTTCTACAGTAACTGAAAACGGACAAACAGCGCTACAGAGCTGTTGAATAGGTAACTACCATTAGATGGTGGTGAGAATATAAAGCATAAAATTTGAAGCCATAGACTCTTTTAATGTCGTTCAGAATTAGTTAAAGAAAAAGAAATAAAGCATTGCAGCAGAAAACATTCTTGCGCTTTTATTTTTTTGCCAAAACCACTAAAGAGGAAGTGATTATGTGAGTAACTGTTGCTGTAATGACTTACATCTATTTCAGCACTACTATCAAAGTATTTGTGTATTTATATTTTTTGCCACTATCAAAGCATCATAATCAGGCCACAGGCCAGATATTATTACTGGCGGGCAGTTTTGGCGAGGGTCCGTAATCACAGAGAAAATTAATGTGTTTCCCTTGTCAATGTTTGTATAAACTTTATCTATCTAGTCAGTGTTTCTTCCGAGTCAAAAGGAAATTGTTATTTCCTTGTTTGAACAGTGTGATCTTTGAACTTGAGAGACATTTTTGTAGTTTGAATGAAAAATTGCTTGTTGGGATTCAGACATGCAATCCAGTGTCAGACCGCCTCTTGTCTGAGCCACAGGTTTCTTTGACTATACTAGTCAGCAGCTGTAGCTGTGAAAGATCTTTTAATGCCTCACATCGGCTCCATATTTGGCTGAGGCAGACCAGGGCCAACGAGGACTCCAGCACCCGGCTGTGATGTCAGTTGAGAAGAAGGTGTTTGAGAGATAGTCAATCATCAAAAAGTGACTTACCGATTTGCCACCCCCCAAAGTGCGGCCTCCCGTATCTAAGGTTGCCGGTTTAAGTCAGGACCGTGCAGTAGTATAACCTCGGGGAAAGCTGCACATTACCATATGTTAATTCACTATTAAATTATCTAAGTCCTGTGTGTATGAAGGTACTACAACTTTAGTTTTCTTAAACAATGCCAGGTATTGACCAATTAAATGATCCAGATAAACAATAATCTTGTGGCACAAGAATACATCCATGATAATACTGGCTCGCTTACCAGTTGAAAAGCTCGCACACACACACACACACACACATCGAGGTAGGTAAGGTATGAGTGAGTCTCCAGTAATCATGCTGTAACGTTAGCAATGTAAGTATTTCCTTAGCATATCAGTAACAGACCCCTTGTTTTTCAGCCTTGAGCACAACCTTAAAATAAATGCAACTCAGAGTAAACTAAGTTGTTAATTTGACCCGCATAAGAAAATATGACACCTGACAAGTGCAGGAGCAACAAATGGCAACTGCAACAGAAGTGAATTAATGCCCCGTTCCAGACTGCTCGGAACCGGAAAATTTGAAATATCTGACTTCCGACCTGGAAGTGTTCCAGGTGCATGGTGGTGCATGATGCCGAAAGTGAATGAAAAACATGGCTGGCCGTGACAAGCTGATGTTTCTTTGTGAAGTGTGCACACAACTGAACCCTCAACAGTGCCCTTGGTGTACCTATAATAACACACGCAACATTCTTCTAAATACAGTGGGTACGGAAAGTATTCAGACCCCTTTAAATTTGTCACTCTTTGTTTCATTGCAGCCATTTTCCAAAAATCAAAAAAGTTCATTTTATTTCTCAGTAATGTACACTCAGCACCCCATCTTGACAGAAAAAAACAGAAATGTAGAAATTTTTGCAAATTTATTAAAAAAGAAAAACTGAAATATCACATGGTCATAAGTATTCAGACCCTTTGCCGTGACACTCATATTTAACTCAGGTGCTGTCTATTTCTTCTGATCATCCTTGAGATGGTTCTACACCTTCATTTGAGTCCAGCTGTGTTTGATTATACTGATTGGACTTGATTAGGAAAGCCACACACCTGTCTATATAAGACCTTACAGCTCACAGTGCATGTCAGAGCAAATGAGAATCATGAGGTCAAAGGAACTGCCTGAAGAGCTCAGAGACAGAATTGTGGCAAGGCACAGATCTGGCCAAGGTTACAAAAAAATTTCTGCTGCACTTAAGGTTCCTAAGAGCACAGTGGCCTCCATAATCCTCAAATGGAAGACGTTTGGGACGACCAGAACCCTTCCTAGAGCTGGCCGTCCGGCCAAACTGAGCTATCGGGGGAGAAGAGCCTTGGTGAGAGAGGTAAAGAAGAACCCAAAGGTCACTGTGGCTGAGCTCCAGAGATGCAGTCGGGAGATGGGAGAAAGTTGTAGTAAGTCAACCATCACTGCAGCAATCCACCAGTCGGGGCTTTATGGCAGAGTGGCCCGACGGAAGCCTCTCCTCAGTGCAAGACACATGAAAGCCTGCATGGAGTTTGCTAAAAAACACCTGAAGGACTCCAAGATGGTGATAAATAAGATCCTCTGGTCTGATGAGACCAAGATAGAACTTTTTGGCCTTAATTCTAAGCGGTATGTGTGGAGAAAACCAGGCACTGCTCATCACCTGTCCAATACAGTCTCAACAGTGAAGCATGGTGGTGGCAGCATCATGCTGTGGGGGTGTTTTTCAGCTGCAGGGACAGGACGACTGGTTGCAATCGAGGGAAAGATGAATGCGGCCAAGTACAGGGATATCCTGGACGAAAACCTTTTCCAGAGTGCTCTGGACCTCAGACTGGGCCGAAGGTTTACCTTCCAACAAGACAATGACCCTAAGCACACCGCTAAAATAACGAAGGAGTGGCTTCACAACAACTCCGTGGCTGTTCTTGAATGGCCCAGCCAGAGCCCTGACTTAAACCCAATTGAGCATCTCTGGAGAGACCTGAAAATGGCTGTCCACCAACGTTTACCATCCAACCTGACAGAACTGGAGAGGATCTGCAAGGAGGAATGGCAGAGGATACCCAAATCCAGATGTGAAAAACTTGTTGCATCTTTCCCAAAACGACTCATGGCTGTATTAGATCAAAAGGGTGCTTCTACTAAATACTGAGCAAAGGGTCTGAATACTTATGACCATGTGATATTTCAGTTTTTCTTTTTAATAAATTTGCAAAAATTTCTACATTTCTGTTTTTTTCTGTCAAGATGGGGTGCTGAGTGTACATTACTGAGAAATAAAATGAACTTTTTTGATTTTTGGAAAATGGCTGCAATGAAACAAAGAGTGAAAAATTTAAAGGGGTCTGAATACTTTCCGTACCCACTGTACATAGGTTTTGAAGGCTGTATAAATAACTGTATATAGCCTATTGTTTTAATTAATATAATTTATTATAAATGTTACCATAAAACACATATCAAACACATTTACTTATCTGTTAAGTTCTGTGTGTGCAGCATGCAGGGACTACGAACTTTAGTTTAGTTGTAGTTGTGTTGTAGGCCTATGACAAATTAAAAACCTTGTAACTTTTCTACATCAATTTATATGCAGAACAGGTTTTACAATATATAGTATGTATACTTTTATTTAAATACATGCAAATATGTTTTATGTTGCCTTTTAGGATATGGTTTACCATTTACAATGTGTGCTTCCCTGCAAATGCCATTGTTGTGTGACATCATTCAGCTACTTGGTACATATTTTTTTCTCCAAGTTCACAAGTACAAATTCCGACTTCAAGTGGCTTACATAGTACTTTTTCCAGTTGGAAGTCGGAATTTCCCAGGTTCCGAGTTGCCTAGAATGCAGCATTAGCATTGGCTTTAAAGACACAGTAATGTTGCAGGTGGCTCTAATTTATCAGCTGATTAGATTCACCTTCACCTAATTGTAATGTAGGGGATTCATAGTGTTAATTAGATTTTTGAAACAAGCTGTCAGAGTGTTTGCACAGTCAGTGTCATTGCTCTAGCTTGTCTAAAGGTGTTCCAGCATATGTTACAGCTGTGCCCGGTCTCCCCTATACGTGGAGGAGCCAGTTGGAGCGGAGTCTCTGTGGCAGCAGACCGTAGGTTTTCACTTTGAATTCTGGATGAACTTCTAACTACAAATTATAAACTATAAACCGGTAGACTAGCTGGAAAGCCGCGGAGGACGCAGAGCAACCTGTCGCTTGGTCATTTTCTGCATTTGTTTTTGTGTGTGTTGTGTGTGTGCACGGTCATTTTCACCAGTGGACTCGAAGTTAAAGAGCGTCTGACACCGCAAAGGTAAGTCATTTTCATGTTTCACACAAATGTACCTTCTTTGGGAAACTGCACTGGCTACTGGTTTGCCTCTTTTCTCACCCAGTAACGTTCACTTACCGTTAACAGGGCTTTGCCTTGTACTGTTACACAGGTGTAGCATACTCTTGCTTTTCCAAAAAGGTAACGACAAGTTCACTACAGTAACTTAACGAGTAGTTTGTTCTTTCTCAACATCAGCTTTTCTCCCTTTTCTTTCAACAAAACTACAAAAAGAGGGTGAATAATTAATCTATTCAAGCTCCCATAAAAAGTTTGTGTATTTTAATTCACAGTGCTTTCTTATTTATTTGTTTATCCCTTTTTGGCAGTTTGTAGGAGTTAGTGTGTGTAAAACATTTATTTATAGCGTCCCTTACTTTAAAATTACAGAAAGATGTTCTAAAATAGAACAATAATGATAATAATAGTAACAATAATAGTGATAACTATTCATATTATAGGTATAGGTTTTAATTATAGGGCTGTGTCAGTGTCAGTAATTTCTAACAAATAATGATGATGTAGGCAGTGGTATCTCAGGGTACCTTCAGTCTATAAGAATTGCTTTGGCTTTGTTCCCCAGCACATTGGATTTGAAAAGAAACAGTGATTTTGAGGTTAATGTGCTGTTAAAGCTGTTATTGTTAATTATTATTTAAAGCAGTGCAGTCTTTGTGCTTATGTGTGTGTATGTGTGTGTGTCCAAGTCTTCCTGAATTTTCTAGATACTTCACACAGCAGCGTCTCCCTGTGCGTCTCCCACACATTTTAATATACATTTATGACCACATTTTTCAAAAAACATGCACATCATGAATAGAATACAAAGCGTGATATCTCTGTCAAACACCCTGTCAAGTTTCCAATAAAAGCAGCTGTGTCAAAATGACTGCAGAGCAGTGTAAAAACCTTTTCTTATGAATATAGATGCCTAGACCTTCAACGAGTAATACTTAATAACCTGCAGCAATGAGGAATCCAACCTCTCCAAAGTAATTAAAAGTAGAGCCCTAATGGTACAGGATTATTGCTGTGTGTTTGACTGATCCCTCAAATGTGGTTATTGTGACAAAGATATGAAATGGAGGCAGAATGTCCAAAATTACATCAGTGCACTGAAACAGTATACTTCACTGGGAATAAAATGTATTTAAATGTTTTATTTAACCTATCTTTAAGCAGGTGAGACCTGTTGAGATCAATGATCTCTTATACAGGCACGACCTGGCCAAGACAGCAGCATAAAAATGTTACAGATGACGATACCACAAGAAACATAAGAACATGTTATTGTCTGTGTGTGTGTGTGTGTGTGTGTGTGTGAAGGGGTTGTAACCTCACATAAAAATATTCCACTTGCTGGGTTTTTCTGTTACCTCTGACGGCCAGCATGCCTAATCCTATGTTGAGACTCCGGGTCGGATTTCCCATGAAATCCATTGGCTGTGCTCTCCCAAGCCTCTCACCTGTTGATTCTGTTCCATCCACAAAGCAACAACATAACAGCTAATGAGATGGAGTCCACTAAAACAAAAAACGACCGGCCCCAAACACAACACAGACTAAAACTGAAATTCTACCGAAAGGATAAAAAATAAACGTTTTATGTGCTGGAGCCCATCAGGACAAACGAGAATCAGATTGACTTCAGGTGAAAACACGTTCATGAAGGCTTGAGTCACAGAGACCTCCAATTTTTTTGGATAAAAAAAAGAGACAGAGTTGGCTTTAAGCCTATTGTACAGGTAAACTAACAATACTGCAGAGTTTTTGTTGTCGCAATATAGGGCTGAACGAATTGGGGGGAAAAAAATCTAATTGAGATTTTTCTGCCAGATATTGCCATTACAATTCGATTTGCTTTTATTTTTAAGAAAAAGTTCAGATAAAGTTAAAAATTCACTGCCAGTCTTTTGTCGGAAGACGCCTCAAGCACGGTCAAGCAGCACAGAGCAGATGAACCGGGCAGGAAGTCCGACACAGAATGGCATAGAGAATCCGGTCAATTTTCAAAATAAAACGCCTTGTGCAGACTCCTGATCGTATATCAATATTAAGTACACAAAAAACAAACTGTTTAACAACGTAGACTACCTAATCATGAACAACTGAACAAATTAATAAAATCTGAACAAGTCAGCAAAATCAGGCAGGCAAAACGCTCCACTGCTGAAACATTTGTGTCATTGAGTTGCCTAAGGAAAAGGTCGCGACACAGCCGCTGCCTGTGTCTGTTCAGGGCTAAAAGTTCTCTGGCACAGTGCCGGAATTCCGGCACAGGGCGTTTTTATATTCGACAATATATAGCCTAATTATGTCCGTGGAAAATATTCTTGCAATATTTCTTAACAGTTGAGTGATATGTGTGAAGCGCCAGTCTCTGTTGGTGGATGCACAAAAGAAGGGGACTGGTACTTCCTGACTACGTGTTAAATAAATGTTTAATTAATTTGAATCATAGACTAATTTAAATATTGTTGAGGAAAAGGGACTGAAAACAGATTTTACCTACTGTTACTCATGCATATTTGTTGAAAAAAGATTTTGTCATAATTGTTTTTAATGTTCTGCGCTTAGATTTGTGAAGTGTCCACTGTTTGACATTTGCCAATTAAACTTGAAAGAAACAATGACTTGACATTTATTGTGATAATTATCGATATCCAATTATATGAATTTTTCTTATCGTAATAACATTTCTGGCCATATCGCCCAGCTCTTGTTCCACTTCAACAATTGATTACAGGGTATGGCAGAAAAGTCTTACTAGAATGCAGGAAATGAAATGTTTAATGCTCATTTTTTTCAGGGGGAGGACCCCCATATTGAATATTTCTTCATAACCGTGTACAATTATTTTCCTGTCTTGTTCTTGCGAACCCAGTATCGTAATTCCTCATGTCTTGTGAGCTAAGTGTATCGTCACACCCCTAATCTGAGCCACTATGTCTCGATCAGTATTCAACACGGAGTTACGCTCTTGCTCCTTACCCTTCATCTTTGTTGTAACCCCCGAACGCATTTCAGGCACAAAAAATGATTTTGCTTTAAGCCCTGGTCTGTTCGTCTGGCGCCATTAATCCACGTTTTCTTCCTGTTTGTTTGTTGTTGTAAAATGTACACGCCCTGTCGCCACAAGGGGGCAAGAGGGGGCTTTGCCCCCTCAGTTGTATTTTCTGCCCCCCCACCAATGGGCAAAATTTACCTGCTGCTGTTTTTCGATTGTAGCCTATGCCTGGTTTAAATTTACAGTATTCAAGTCCCCCAGTCTTTGACTTTTCCTAAGTTAACAGCATTTATGCATCCTAAGAGCCAGCAGGTAAAAATTGATCTGTAAAGTCATTTTCGCGCTATTAATTTATCACTTGAGGTCAACATTCTGTGTTGCTACTGGCAACACCTTACAGGCATGCAGAATCGCTCAGCAAGGAGAGGCTGATGGTGGGGAGGTTAGGACAGTGATGTGTCTTGGACTCATTCTGCATCTGACGGCTCATCGATCCAATTGCACAGAGCAGGCTAGACATGCACAAACGCTGTGTTCATTTTCAGTTGCCAACAGCAAGACTAGGCTGAATAGAGTGAAACATTTTAGGGAGACATGATCATCAAAACAAATGACGCAGCACCGACATTTTCCATCCACAGGATGAAAACAAATCCAGAAACTGGCACAGCAGGCGGAAAACCTACGGTTATCAAAAAGGCCCAAATGATTATTGGCCCTATCTGGTACCCAGCACAAAGCGGTGCAAAGCGCAGCACAAGTGTCTAGTTTCCAACCGGCGCAGTTGATAATTGCGCACCAAGTGACCGAGTTATAGCAAATGCACTTCCGCCCATCTGTGAGCCCATGGGAGTCTTAACATTACGTGTGGTCAGGCACATTGTTGGCGCATTGCTATTGAGGCAGCTGAAAGCGATTGCACCATTGACCCAATAAACAGGTCTAAAGTCAATGGCACTGTTTTTGTTAGGGCCGCATCACTGTGACACTGTGCGCATTTACGTACGAGGCACAGCAGCGTAACTTCATTGATTATTAAAATCTCCCGGCAGGATCAGTCAGGATCAAATGTTAATTCATGATCTGTGTTCTTCTCCACATTCAAAAGGTCTCACACACAGTCCAGGTTCATCCAGTGAAACTGTTTGGAGTAAAGCAGACGTCCTCCTGATCAGTCCTGAGCTCCATCAGAGAGTCTAAATAATTTCAGAAGCTAAAAGTTGAATTCTGTTTCCTCTGGAGAGTTTCCTCTGTCCTGTCATGTCAAGTTTATAACTTAAGCTTCTTTCTGTTTTGCTGCTCAAATACCCCACAATATTTGTTGTGACTTTATTGCACACACGATGTTTAAAATGACAGACAGCAACATCTCTAAGCATGAAAGTAAATCGTTAAAGAAAACACTCATACATCAATAAAACACAAAATAAAGAAACCAGTGTAGGGGAGAGATGTGACCCACAAACGCAGTGCAGTGAGGATCCAGACGTTTCATAGAGGAGACGTCGTATTTCTGTCTTTTAACAGACTAGAGTTCCGACACTTCTGATAAACTACAGAGCAGCAGAGTAACACAGGCTTCATGATCAGTGATGGTTTTTATATCACGTACACACTTCTCTCCATATCCCCTCTGTGCTGTGAGTCTGCAGTTCAGTCAATTGGTGTTTTTCATAATACACCATTCACACTATTAGCAATGCACCAAAGTACAAGTGCACCTGGCTTTGAAAGGGAAATGACTCTGATTGGTGTATTGCAAGTACAACCCTTTTGAACCATGCGCCTGGTGCACGGACCATTTTTTTTCTGCCGTCCAACTTGCAAAATTGGAGTTGGACACGCACCAAACCCAACTGCGCTTCACGCTGTGAAGGGCCCTGTGTATTGATATAAATATATAAAAAGATTTGCCCCCTCTGTCACTTCTTCCTGGCCCGCTCTGATTGGCAAGTAGGGCCGCAACAGGAGGCGC